TTTCAAAGTGGAAAAAGTCCTAATTGCACATTGATCAGAGCCAGTGATGCTTCAAACATTGCTAAATAGCATCTAGTGAGTGTAGTGCTTATAAGATTTGTATTAATCTAGGAAGAAATTATGCTGTTCTCTTTAAACACATCAAAGCCTGATGCTCACATTAAGCATTAAAAAAAAGAGTATGCATCTTTTTGCAAAGGACCAATGACATTAGACCAATGAAACTGAAGACCAATAGTGTTCCTGCCAAAGCTGAAATCAAACCTATGCCTTTGATATTCTCTCTTGCCTTTAACCAAGAATATAATCCATATATGTAGCCCACTTCTCTGTTGTTTTTGATCCATCGCCATTCATTCTGTCATGTAACAACTTTTTACATTGTGCTAATAAAATGACATTAAAGGGGCCACTTATCCTCCAGAAAATGTCTGTCTGACTTGTTTTCTGTATGTTTCCTGCATATCGCTAACCTTTTCCCAAGCTCATAATGCTTTCTGCAGCCACGGAACAACTGCTGTTAAAATTAAATGTAACATCTAAGTAACGTAGTACCTGTTTTCTGGATACACCCCCAATGGAAGGTGCTGCACCCATACCTTGTCTCCTACTCCACAATGAAAATGTAATTAGACTCTTGCACATTTGGATCTTGTTCTAGTACACATAAGTAAAGGTATTGACTAGTGGTCAAAGGTAGTGGGAAATAGATAATAGTTCATAATAAATAAAAAAGATGAAAGAATCCAGTATCCAGTTCTCTCTTGAAAAAGAGACACACCTTGCCTATATTGTTGTACAGCTTTGGTGCAAACACCTGTTTGCTGCTCTGCCAGTAGCCTACTCGTTATATGGCGCCATCTGCAGACTGAAAGAACATTTATGTGACGTGGTTAATATATACATATATATATATATATATTATATAATATATATATATTTATATGTATATGTAGGAGACAGAGAACATGAGCTATGGGGATTATCAAACCTCCACTGGCTCAACTAAGCAAGTTTTTTCTCATTGCACTAATAACACTTTTAATAAGAAATGTTCCTGTTAATTTAATTTTAACAGCAGTTGCTCCATGGCTGTATAAAGCATTATGGAAAAAGGTTGGTGATATGCAGGAAAATATACAGAAAACAAGTCAGACCGACAAATTTTCTGGAAGACAAGTGTCCCCTTTATTGTCATTTTATTAGTACAATGTAAAAAGTTTTTACATGACAGAATGCATGGCGATGGATCAAAAACAGTGAAGTAGGCTACATTTATGATTATATTCTCAGAAAAAAAAATAAATAAATAAATGGGCTTGGTTGGAGACAAGACAGAATATAAAGGGAAAAGTCGGACGGCCTCTGCCGGATTCGAACCCGCCACGAAGCAAAAGAATCGCATTGAAGGCGGTCACTTAAGCCACCACGCCACCTCTCGGTAGTATTAAGTGGTGAGACATTCCTACTGATACCTGTGAATACAAAACATTTGTTGGCGATGAATGTTGATGCAAAACATTTTTACGTGAAAATAGGCATGGAATGGATTCAAAATAACAGCAAAGTGTAAGTAGTGGATATATTCCTAAAATTAAGGCTTTGTGAAACGGCAATGCAGTGAATTCTGGCAATGCTGCAACATTGAGCTCTGTGCAGTTTTCCACAAAGCAGATCTGCGCTGAACTTTCTTGGTCTGGCTGCCTTGATCAGAGATTGGATGCAACCAGTTCAAATGCATTGGCTGTAGGAAAAGAAGGAAGGACATCATTATCATATTAGGAAAACGCGCGTTAAATACGCGCGTTCTGACCGACACGACGCGCGTATTTAACGCGCGTTCTGACCGACACAACGCGCGTATTTAACGCGCGTCTTGCGGTACTATCATGACGCGCGTAAAAGGCGGCGCTCGTTGGTAAAAGACGGCGTAAAAAGCGACGTAATCTCGGGAGAACGCGCGTTTTTTGCGGGTTAACTTCAATCTTAACGCGACAATTCAATGTGAAATATGACTTTCTTGGCTTGCCATAAACACCAGCTGTGCGCTCGGCTGTTTCTCCGCTCGCTCGACTCTCTGCGCTCGCAACTTCAGCAATGTATGTAAATGAACCATACCATCAGCCAATCACACTCAGCTTCTTTTCATCCAATGAAAGCATTCGTTCCTTCTTCTTCTTCTTTTTTATCATGGCGGATCGCAAGCAACTTTAAGGTGCATACCGCCACCTACTGTTCATGATTGTGTAGCAACATTGTTTTACATCTATTAAATTCTATTTTTTAATTTTGTATTCTGAAGATAACTAATTAATGCTTTCCTTAATCTATAAATATCCTTTATATTTCCTTTATTTCCCAATAATCCTTTAAGACTCCATTCTTGGCCTGTCCTTTCAACTACTCTTCTCAATTTTTCCCTTTCAGGTTCATATGTTTTACAGTTCATTAATACGTAAGCATTCGTTCCAAATACTACACCGGGTTAAATGAAAAAATAAAAATAAAAACACAATCAGGAAAATCAAACAACTCTTACAGTTATTTTGTCAACATTCCTAAGATAGTACTATAAAATATCTTGAATTATCTCAAATAAACTTCAGTAAAACAGTTATTAGATCATTGCCTCATCCATCTCTTTTACCTGCTATTGACATGGATTTAAATTTGCTGTTTTAAAAGAAAAATAAGGAGGATATTTCAGGTTCAAGTATGGTTCAACAGTATATAGATAATGTTTTGGATCATATTGGCCTTACTCTTAGCTTTTGTGGCGGGTGTTTCTTCTTTTTGTTGTTTTTTATGGAGGTTGGCAAACAACAATTACCGCCACCAACTGAAAAATCCTGTTTATCAAATTATTCTTTTTAATATATATAATAAAGAATAACCCTCTTATTTAGAGTCCATCTGTAAAAGGTCTTCTAAATAATAATTGTTAAATTTCAGATCAGGTCTGCTGTCTGAATAATTGTGTTTAAATTAATATAACGCTGATCTAGAATCAGAGCAAACTAAACTTCTTAATGGAACGATTTCTTCAATCCATTGTAAGGCCAATATGATCCAAAACCTTTCTCCTTTGTAGGCTGAATTCCATCACTGATTCTTTTACCCGATTTAAAAAAAAATTCTGGAACTAAAACAAAACACCATTCCTAATATTGGAATATTTTGAAGCATCCATAAAAAATTTAACATATCCATAATATTTTTTATCTATATATTGTTGAACCATACTTGAACCTGAAATATCCTCCTTATTTTTCTTTTAAAACAGCAAATTTAAATCCATGTCAATAGCAGGTAAAAGAGATGGATGAGGCAATGATCTAATAACTGTTTTACTGAAGTTTATTTGAGATAATTCAAGATATTTTATAGTACCATCTTAGGAATGTTGACAAAATAACTGTAAGAGTTGTTTGATTTTCCTGATTGTGTTTTATTTTAATTTTTTTCATTTAACCCGGTGTAGTATTTGGAACGAATGCTTACGTATTAATGAACTGTAAAACATATGAACCTGAAAGGGAGAAATTGAGAAGAGTAGTTGAAAGGACAGGCCAAGAATGGAGTCTTAAAGGATTATTGGGAAATAAAGGAAATATAAAGGATATTTATAGATTAAGGAAAGCATTAATTAGTTATCTGCAGAATACAAAATAAAAAAATAGAATTTAATAGATGTAAAACAATGTTGCTACACACTCATGAACAGTAGGTGGCGGTATGCACCTTAAAGTTGCTTGCGATCCGCCATGATAAAAAAGAAGAAGAAGAAGGAAGGAATGCTTTCATTAGATGAAAAGAAGCTGAGTGTGATTGGCTGATGGTATGGTTCATTTACATACATTGCTGAAGTTGCGAGCGCAGAGTCGAGCTTGCCATAGCCGAGCGCACAGCTGGTGTTGAGCGCGGAGAGAGAGCAGGTCGAGCGCGAGCAGAGACGGATTCGAGCACGCGCAGAGATGAAACTGAGCGCGAGAACAGTGTGTTGAGAGGGTTTTACAGAGTTGAGCGCGCGCCAGACCGGCTTTGCGCGTGCGCTTGTTGTCTCACTGCGCGCTCGGATTGGTTCCTGCGCGCTCAAACCGATGGCACAAATATCTCTCCATAAATTTCTGGATTGCATTTTTTTTTTCTTTCAAATTTCAATCCACAGAATGACTGTTTTTTTTAAGGATCATATTTCCTTTTAACTTTTGTCTTTTTTATCATTCATGTCAGCTTCTGCAGAACATTTTGAAAGTTATTATTTAGCTTCATTGAGCTCAAAGCTGGGATTTCGCTGCTCTGATCATGAACAAACCACAGTAGCAATTCCTTTTACTGAGATTATTTACTTCTACTTCTAACTGGTTTTAAGACCATTTTAAAACCAGTAAAATTAATCAATAAAGAACATTCTATCCTTTAGAACAAGTGCAGGTTTTCCTTTAATCGCTTCGGACTCGTTCAGATGCTCTGTGATCTCAGGATCTGTTTCGATCCTAATAAAAGCAAATGGATATTTGGATCAGAAGGTTTTTTGTTAGGATACTTTTTTTATTCCAACTGCAGCCTCAAAAACTCCCAAATTCCTCCAACCAATTGGAGAGCCTGTTCATCTGCACAATTTGGAGGTGTGTGAAGATGGAACATGCCAGAGCTTATTGGTTGGAAATGGGCAGAACAATTCTCTGGTGGCCAATCACAACACACATGGTACCCAGCTGATGGTTTGAGGAATCTCAGCATGACATCAAGGATCCAAACATGCAGCATTAAAAATGTCTTCATCTCCTGCTAAATCTTTTACACCTCATCTCATTTTTGGTCATTTCTTTTTTTCCGTCTGCTTTATAAATGACAGATTGTGCTGCTAAGTTTTAATTGGTCATTTTTACCGTGTTGTATTGATGAGAATTTCATGGCTACAAATAGGAACCATGTCCCATGTGTTTAGTGACTTTCTAACCAGAAAACGGTCTCTATAGATTTTTTTCCACACTGACCTCTAGACAGGAAGCGGTGCGTGGCCAGCAGGAGCTGCGGCGACGTGCGGATCTTGGGTTCTCCCTCTGGAGGCTTGAAAAGGGAAAACTCCTCGTGTGCGCCGCGGGGCTCCAGAGGGATCTCCAGAGGAGGCATCGGACGCTTCACCTTCCTGTCCACTGTGTGGCGACACCAGAAACAGGTTTGAACAGACATGTGGGAAGCAGAGGTGGTATGGAGAGAAATCTGTGCCAATATTATTGACAGCAAAGAAGAGCTTCAGAACTGGGAGTTCTTAATTTAAAGAAAAATAGTTTCGAGGAGCAATTCATAATGTTTATACAAAAGTTTAACCTAAATTCTAACGGTATTCCCTTTTTTAGATTCTGTTTTCCAAATGTCATGTTTTCAAATGCTTTTATTTTTACTTTTATAGACTTTATTCAGATATAATCTTTTCTATGTTATTTTTTTTTTTTTTTTTAAGATTTTATCCAAATATTACATATTATATTATATATTGCTTTTCATTTTTTTTATATTATTCTCCAACATTTTATTAATTTATTTGAAATTTATTTACATATCTTTTCAGTTCCTTTGAGATTTTTTTGTTTGTCAACACTTTTATTCTACTTTTATCTTTTCAAAGTTTATTATTATTATTGTGTTTACAAACATTTTTCAGATATTATCTTTCCCCAAAAAATTCAGTTTTTGTTTTAAGATTTAATTTTTTCAGTTTGTCTTTATATATAAAAAAAAATGTAATCTGAAAAAAGAAAAAGATAGAATCTTAAAAAAATATTTGGAAGGAATAAGAATTCAGAAAAAAAGTAGAGCAAAGAAAAGCTATAAAATCAGCAAACTGTCAAGTAAATGTCAAACATTTGCAAGTACATCATTAATAACTCAAAACTTTTGAGTGATTCAGAAGGTTTTTGAAGTTTCCTTTAAAAGAAAAAAAAAGTTCTTCAAATTAGGCTTTTTTTTTTTACATATTCCTTTCTTTTAATAGTAAAGGAACTAATTTCTCCCCATACAGCAGAAGAAAAAGCGAGCCGTCAGACACTCACAGTAGCCGTCAGACTCGTCCAGGATCTCTGACTTGATGACCTCCTCGATGACGTCCTCTAAGGTGACCAGTCCCAGAACCTCGTAGAAAGGGTCCCCCTCCCCCTCGTTGTTCACCTTCTGGACGATGGCCATGTGAGAGTTACCTACATGAACATCAGAGGTTAGAATAAGAAGAAAGAGAAGAAAACCAACCACACTATCACCTCCAACCTCATCGCCACGGCAAGCTGTCAAATATTGCTCCTGTAAGCCAGGCCAACAATGACCTCAACTACCCCCCATTACTAAGGGCTGGACCCATTTCGGTTAAATTTGCATTTTTCTCTTTAAACCTGTGGATAACAAACTGGGTGTTTGTAAAATCAGCAATGAAATCCAGCACATTTCAAACCAAACAAGAGCCTTAAACAGAGATTAGTGCATCCTAAAGACAAAACCCCCGAAACCTAAGATGAGCAGAGTGGTGTCTACAATTCAATGCAGTGAGGAATGCTCTGATCTTTATATTGGAGAAAACAAAAAACTTCTCCACAGACGCATGGCTCAAAACAGAAGAGCGCCCTCCTCTGGACAAGACTCTGCAGTACATCTACATCTTATTGACAGAGGACATTCTTTGGAGGACCAGAATGGTCACATTTTGGGCAAAGAAGACATGTGGTTTGAGAGGGGAGTGAAGGAAACCATTTATGTTAAGAAAGAAAAGACAACCTTAAACGGGATGAACTCAGATTTCAGCTTTAAAAAACCTACAACCTGCCATCATCGCAGCCCCAACCCCATTACAGGGGAACAGATAACCTCACCTGTTCAGCCAGGCCAACAATCCCATCTAACGACCCTCCTTTCAGAGACATAGACAGGTATGGGGCGTTGCAGGCTAACCAAAGAAGCCAAACGACCCCCATTCCAAATGGCAGGACCTGTTTGTTTTTTTCAATTTGCATGTTTTCTACAGGCCTTTTTGGGCTACTGTATAAAACCTCAAGCTCAACACTATTTCTGACATTTTGAATTGAAAAAGCGTCCTGGGCGGGACGGGAAATGTCTTCAAAATACGAAACAAAGTCCAGTGGATTTTTTATTTTTTTACTTTTTAGGCATATTTTCAAAGCAATTCCAAGGCTTTTGTTGGGCTACTTTATAAAGTTTGGAGCTCAACGCTATTCCAGACATTTTGAATAGAGAATGCTTTCTGGGTGGGAAGCGAAACGTCTTCAAAATTTGAAGAAAAAAAGAAGAAGAAAAAAAAGTCCAGTTGTTCTTAACCTTTTTTGGAATTATAATGAGCACCAATTTGCTGGCTTGACTTAAAGACCTTAAAATACACAGAAAAAATGTAAGAACTGATCCATTAAATGCAACAAAAGCGTTTTGAGAATGGAAAAAAAAAAACAAACAGGTGAAATTGTTTAATCATAAATTTCTTTAAAGTTAAACTTAATCTCTAAAGCTGACATAAAGTCAACCAGAGCACCGAGCGGCTGATAGTGGCCCCGTCCACATGAAGCCAAACCCTGGCCTAAACGCACAAATTTTTCACCAAACCAGCCTCTCATCCACACGAAGCCGGCGTTTCGGGGGCCTGTAAACGATCTTTTTTTTATTCAGCCTTCAGAGTGGGAAGATTTTGAAACGCCGTTTTCGCGTTTCCATCTTTACGCTCTAACCGCATATTTTTTTCATTACACGCATGCGTCATAGCGTCGCCTCTAAACACGCATGCGCGACACAATATCACAACAACAATGGCGTCGTACTGTGTTGAATGGTTGCTGCTCATGCTACTCACCCTGCTGTCGGGCTTACAACAGAATCTTCTTCTTCTGGAATATCTCCAGGAAGAACAGAGCAATATAGACGACATAGTTCAGCACCTGAATTTGACTGAACCACGAAAATGGACCCGCAGGGCAACCATGTATAAATATTAGTGCGCATGCCCAACATTTCGTCGCCTATTTTTGCTTTGGCACCACAGCGCCACTTACAGGCCTGGCATACATTTTGCAGCGTTTTCATGCATTCATGTGGACGATCACATTTGTTCTACGTCTCCGTCTTTACGGCAAACGTTTTGGAAAATATTAGCGTTTCGTGTTCATTTTGACTTCGTGTGGACGGGGCCAGAGACACCTGCTTTGGGGTTGATGGCGAGGCAGCGTGCTTTGATTGCTAACATGAAAGAGCTCCACTCTAACTATGAATGAATAAATGTCCATTGTTAAGCACAGTAGAGGATCTGTGATGCTCTGGGCCACTTCCTTATCTAATCCTGATGGAAAGATTGACTCAAAGTCTTTAAAAAAACATGAACATAAAAAACAGAGTTAACTCTAAAAGAGTCGTTATATTTTGTTTTTTCACTTTAGTTAAAATTCCATCAAATTTGATTGCTTTTAATGGTTTTTGATGCTAAATGATTTATTATAAGAGATAGAAGAAATATTTCCCTGATGTTTGATGTCTTTGCAAAATAAAATAAAAACTGATCTTAAATGATGTTGCAGGTAATTCTAACACCTAAAAAATATATACATGGTTAAATTTTATACAAGTAATATTGAGATTAAAAAGTTTTGGGGTTTCGGTCAATAGAAAGAGTTTATATTGGGGGAAGAAAATGTAATCTGTGAAATGCAATTTATAAAACTCAATCTAAGAAACAGAAAAAAAATGTATTTCAAACCTAAAATCTGAAAAATAAATAAATAAATAAACTCTAGGAAAACAGCAAAGTTATTCTTAAAAACTTTCTTTTATTATTATTAAAAAGTTTTTTTTTTTTTAAGTTTCATTTCTGGATTACATTTTAGTCAAATTTCCTTTTACAAAACGTTTTCATTCCTTGTTGAAATAATGGACCAAAATTCCCTCCATAAGCTCCTAGTATAGAGGGCTAGTCTTCTAGTTACACATAATTAATTTGTTTATCTATAAACAATCTTTTTTATTATTAAAACTGTTTCTAAATATCTATAATGATCAATAATAAACCCCTGAGAAAAAGCACAAATCCTAATAGGATGAGAAAAACAAGAAAAAATGTACTTCCTGCTTTTTTTTTTTGCTAAAAGAAAACCTCTTTGGTGTTAAAACATTTTTATATCTATTTATAATGTTGAGGACTGAAGCGAGAAAAACAAAACGACAATAAAAGTGCAGGAAATGAACATTAAGGTAGAGCACAAATAGAGACGGTGACGCAGATGTTTACGGTTAGAGAGACGACGGGGCGAGCCCACCTTTCTTGAACTCCTCCAGCATGGCGTCCAGCTTGGTGTCGTTAAAGACGAAATGCAGCGGGTGATTGTAGAACTTGGTGATGGTCGTCATGGGGGTGCAGTCCTCCGGGTCCACCAGCGCCAAATCTTTCACATAAAGGATTTCCACGATGTTGGACCTGCAGGAAACCAAACATCAGGAACAGTTCTCAGATTGGTGGCATTCAGACACCAACCTGTCTCTCTGTTTTAGAAAAAAAAAAAAAGAAAAAAAAAAAAGCATTTTTTCCAAAAAATGATAGATCTGGAACTTGATTTTATTTAAGGCAGGTTATTTTGACATAAGTCAAACGGAGCTGCAGATGGTTTTGGACTAATCCTTGTTGCCTTTTCCTTTCTCCCTTTACATAATTAAAATTAGGGATGCACGATATTGGGATTTTGGCCGATATCCCATATGCCGATATTTTAAAACTCGTGTAGCCGATAACCGATATCGATACCGATGTTGAAGCTGGACAAAAATAAGTAGTCATTGAAAATAGCAGTTTTGTTATCCATTTCTGACACTTTGAAAAATAATATACTCAAATATATTTTCATATGCTGATATCAAATTGATTTTTAAAAACGCGGTATCGATCTATTTTACTTTCAAAATCTCGTGAAATTTCATCGTTCTGTTACAAACTCTCGTGATATTTTGCAAATTCTTGTGAGATTTTGTTAGTAAAATAGGTCGATACCGCGTCAATATATCAACATATAAAAATATGACAAAATTTTGTGAATTTTCGGGGGATTTCGTAGCATAACGATGACATATAGCAATATTTCATCAGTAAAAGAGATTGATATGGTGTTTTTAAATGGCAATATATCAGCATATGAAGATATTGTGATATTTTAATGTATCAATATTTTTTCCCTCGTCTTTAGAAGTTTTTAAGTCTGTAAAAAAGAAGTTTTTGATGAAGAAGAAGAGGTATTTTTTTTTTTAGACTTTAGAAACTCAGAAGCTGATCAAATATCGGGTTAAATATCGGTGGGGTGGCCGATGTCCGATATTCAGTTTTAAGGCAGATACCGATAGGGGGCCGATTATATCGTGCATCCCTAATAAAAATAGAAAATAATGAACAAATGTTGCACAAACTGAATTCAATTTAAACATAAAAGAGACATCTATTAGCAAATCAACCAAAACGTTAGCAATTTATAACGATGGAGGAAGCAGCAACGCATGCCGTCCATGTGATGTCGGGGCACGGCTGCTAAATGCGTTAATGAATCAGTGAACACAGGCACGTATCACGAGATACTGATATGAGGAGAAAGGCATAAACGCTGATACCAACATTTATATAATATTTGCAACATTAATGGGCACAGATTCACCCCATAGACCACAGCTGTTTGCTTTTTAAAGTCGTAGCGAAGCGGCTGTTTCAACCGTTGCATTTCCGAATTCTCCTGAGTGGTGCACGAATTTACACGAGTGAATAAAGTGAATGTTGTTGGTCGTTTATCAAGGGGGCGGGATTGTTGTGGCGGAAGGTTCTCAAGCATGTTTGATTGTGGCAGATTTGTCGGAAGCATCTTGCTAACCAGTTAGCAACTTAGTGCTAGCAGGTTCCCAATGGGAAATTCCATTGGGACCAAGTAGCACTAAATTGGTGACTTAGAAACGACACTGTCAAGGAACGCTATGGACAGAGGAAACATGCAAGAGGAGGAGAGTTTAGTGTCGGAGGTCGTGGATGAGTCTCCTCCGTCATCCATTTTTTATTTAGAGAAGGAAAGCGGGGATGAAGATGTTGTGGAAGAGGACGCCAGGGCAGCAAAAGCTTGGTTTGGTGTAGAAGGCTTCCAGCCGTACATGTTTGAGCCCTTGCCTCACAACGATGCCAGTTCTGTTAGCTCTACGCCTGCTGAAGACACAGACGTCCATCCCCGTGAACACTGGGACGGAACTCAATGGGAAAGGAAAGGATTCTTATTTCTTATTTCAACCGTTGCGTATATTAGCTGTGACATATGAATCAAGATGCTATGACCAAAAAATTTGATTGACAGATGACCTTTGATATATGATTGGCCGAATTTAGGTGTTCAGGCTGACGTAGAACTAACTGTCCTGCATAAGATAAAACACGGATTTTAGGACAGGCTTTTTTTTAATAGAAATGTTCTAAATTTTGACACAGTATCTTCTGATAAAGAGTACATTTATATACATGTTTAAGCAAGAATGATTTGACATTTAAATATGATTTCCCTACAACTTTAATGTTATCATAGTTTTAAGAGGCTGTCATAGACTCCTCTACACAAGAAAAGTCTGTGTATAAATAGATGAAGGCATTCATCTTTATCACAACAGGCAACTTTAATTAGTATAAGAGATAAAAGGAAGTTAGAAATACTGTAAATCATGTTGCTGGTGAAGGAGGTTCCTGTCATCCAGGTCATAGTCATTGCAAAAAAAGAAAATTACAAACAACTTTGGAACTGAAAAAGAAAAGCTTCCTGGATGGGAAGCGAAATGTCTTCAAACTTGGAAACTAAGTCCAGTGAATAGATTTTAATTTTCTTTTCTTTTTTTTGGAGTAAATCATGTTAACAGGACAAACTACATCCTGAAAACAAATATCCAACAGTACGGGTTCAAACTGAGAAAGAGATTTCTAAAATAACTGAACTTTATTATAGAAATAGACTGAGTAGATCTATATCATGGATCAGGCAGAGAACATTCTAAAAACAAAACAAAACAAACTAAAAACAGGATCCTAAACATATATAGTTCTGCAGGATTTTATAAAACCTTTATGTTTTTGTGACCTTTGCCTAAATTTTGTTTTGTTTTTGCATCCTAAAGGGCTGCTTATCCTCCCGCAGCAGTGTGTCGCAGTGAGCTTGTCGCAGATATTTTTTGATCTATGTCCAATATTGAAGCGTGGTCTTCGCTATGTTATTCCACGCCACAACACAAGAGGGACAATCAGGATCTAGGGGGTCTAGATACGACCAAAGCGGTGAGGAAATGGGGGGAAGTTTGTGCGACAACGGAGGGAACTGATTGGCAAAAAAGAGCGGGGATCCAGGTGGAGAAACGGTCCAAGCATTCTCGCTCCTCGCTCTTCTAGCTGGTCCATCTTCAAAAGTCGTTTTCCATAATGGCGGTCATACAAACAAAGCAAGCCGCTAAGGTGCCAAACAGCATAGTGCAGAGTGAATGTAGATTTGACCAATCAGAGGCCTCTTGTCTGCGGTACTGTCTGCGGTCACCTACAATTGGGGAGAGGTGCAGCAGAGTGTCTGCAGAAGGGGTGGGTGCATATCTGTGTTCACTGCAACACACAGACGACCTGGTTTCTGAGTATAAACCTGCCTTAGGAGGGGAGTGGTATTCTAGTGGTTAGAGGACTCGGCTTGGAAACCTGAGTTCAAGCCCCACTCCCACAGTCTGCCACAGTGGCGCCCACTGCTCCCCAAGGTGGATGGGTTAAATGCACAGAGTGAATATCATTGCTCTGTATTTGTGATGCAGGGTATAGATACGACCTCCCTGAATGATTAAAGTAAAATAAATGGAAACAACAGGTTCTTTGAATTGAACATGACATCGGCTAATTTATAGCTTTTCATTGGTCTTTCTTTCTGTTTTGAAGGTTTTATTGCTAAAGTTAAGATGTGACCATCAGTTACCCTTCAGACCAGCGTTCATTAATGTTTCAACGAGAAGTGATTCATTTCAGAGGGAAACATTTTCCATCACAGATTATTCATTTCAGCTGAAACCTTTCAGCAGGTTTGGGTGAAAACAGAACAGGATTAACAGACTTTATCTTCTGGAGGAAAATAATGGAATTTACTTTCTAGATTTTTACCATTATTACGAGACAAACGATTATTTTTACGATGAAAGTTTTTTCTACTACTAATTCATGATTTTTGGCCCTTTAAAGATTAAGAAAAGGCAAAAAATATTTTAAAATTTGAGTATTAATGTTAGCCAAAACATTGATAGCACTTCTTTGGAGAGATGGACAGTGGCCTGATAGAGGAATCAGAGGAATCAAAACACATCAATCATGAACAATAAAAAAAAAAAGCTAGAAATTTGGGGAGCCATTAAAGGTATAGAGGACGATCTTTTATTTGTTGGTGGATCATTTAAATAAAACCCACTACAGTAACAGCCATTCAAAAGGGCCCTTCCAGCCGATGGCCTTCCTCAGGGCGTGCATATTTTTTATTCTGACTCCAACCTTTCACTGAACTACAGGGTCTGACCAGAAGATGAAGCTTCTCTTTAGATCTTAATGTCCACAAATCATCACAGAAAGAAGATTTTACCACAAAGATTGATGTTTAAAGAAGAAATTGTAGAGAACCAGCCAAGGATCCATCGAGGAAAGTGGGGAAAATTTGTAAGGCTACAACTGTATATAATCCCTGCTCTATATAGTGAAGAGAAACTTTTAATGGAGCGCGCACGAGGAGAAACGGGCTCACATTTTTTTTAAATTGGAGAGGGCGGGTCTTTAAAAAACATTCGAGAAAAATCTCAACAATACCTTCAATTAAACAGTCAGCAAGAAAGGATTAAACAAACATGAAAGGATATACTGAATTATCTTTTACATTTTCCATAATTATGTTATTTGTATTTAACATATTTTAATTGTGTGTAACTGATTTCTTTAAATGAAATGTAGTATATGGTTGGAAAAAATGTTTTAACAAGGTAAAACTAGGATTCTGTTGGTGTTTATGGCACCCTCTGGTGTTAGAGTAAAGCTACTGCAGATTGTTTACATGTGAAGCTGGAGGCTCCTGGCACTAACATATTGAATCCAGTTGGTCACAGATAAAAGCTAAAGATGGCTCATATCTATTCTTAAAACGAGGTAATGGCCCAACCCTGATGTGGAAAGATGTTGACAGCGCTTACGCTCCGCTCTCACCTCTCCTCCTCATAAATGGGCACCCGGGTGTATCCGCTCTGCATGATCTCCGACATGGTGGAGAAGTCGAGGACGGCCGAGCTGGGCAGCATGAAGCAGTCCTTCAGAGGGGTCAGGATGTCCTCCACCGTCTTGGTACGCAGCATCCCGCGGCTGAACTCCTCCTTCACAAACTCACTGCCAGGAAAACACACATTTACAGCAAACATTTGGTTTCTCTCAAAGAAGTTCTAGATCTTTCCAAGATCAAGTGTGAACCTTCCAGTGATTTAATTAAATTCAAATGTTTCACTATTTTCAAAGACAAATACAATTTTGTGTTCTCTCTGTGTCACTGAAATGTACTTTTCTTTTTTTGTTCTCATATAAAACACCTTTTCCATTGTGGTGCCACTAATTTGTGATATACAATCTAACCAAATTTAGGTTTGTAAAGGGCAGGAGGCAGTATTATGTTAATATGATTAAAAGCAATTACCACATTACAACTATAAAGCACGCCCCACTATGAGCCAAACCCACAATTTTAGTTTTATTAAACTGGAAACATACATATATTAACTACGACGGAGTATTAGGGCCAGGTTAGAGATATTTTCAGAATAAAGTCGTAACATTAGGAGAATACAGTTGTATTATTACGACAATGAAGTCATCATACCACAACCTGTTTCAGAAGGAAAGCTTCGAGCTCCGACCAGCATATGGCGGCCGACCAGCTCCACCAATCAGCAACCTGAGTCCTTTGACCTGCTGCCCAGTTTGATGCTGCTGCTAAAAGTCCAGAGAAGTATAACTTCACATAATGCTCCACATTCCTCATTTTAGGGAAGAAAGTGCTTCTTGTAGGAGCTGTCATAAAATACACATTGTTTCTCGTAATTTACTAACTATTCACTTAATATTACGACTTTATTCTTGTAATTTTATTCTCATAATGTTACGACTTTATTCTTGTAATTTTATGACTATTCTAGTTACGACTTCATTCTCGTAATGTTACGACTTCATTCTCGTAATGTTATGGCTTCATTCTCGTAATGTTCCGACTTTATTCTCGTAATGTTACGGCTTTATTCTCGTAATGTTCCGACTTTATTCTCGTAATGTTACGGCTTTATTCTCTAATGTTCCGACTTCATTTTCGTAATGTTACGGCTTTATTCTCGTAATGTTACGGCTTCATTCTCGTAATGTTACGGCTCCATTCTCTAATGTTCCGACTTCATTTTCGTAATGTTCCGACTTTATTCTCGTAATGTTACGGCTTTATTCTCGTAATGTTACGGCTTCATTCTCGTAATGTTACGGCTTTATTCTCTAATGTTACGGCTTTATTCTCTAATGTTCCGACTTCATTTTCGTAAAGTTCCGACTTCATTTTCGTAATGTTACAACTTCATTCTCATAATTTTATTGCTTTATTCTCATAATGTTTTGACTTTATTCTCATAATGTTATGACTTTATTCTCTTAATTTTATGACTATTCCCGTTGCGGCTTTATTCTCGTAATGTTACGACTTTATTCTCGTAATGTTATGACTTTATTCTCTTAATTTTATGACTATTCCCGTTGCGACTTTATTCTCGTACTGTTACGACTTTATTCTCGTACTGTTACAACCTCATTCTCGTAATATTACGACCTTATTCTTGTAAGGTTACAAGTTATAATAAAAGAAAAAAAATCTTGAGCCTGGCCCTTATACTCCACCATAACTAACCACACTGGGCTACAAGCTGCTGATATCTACTGAACTGTCCCCACCAAACCTGTAGGGGGAGCTCTAGATATCACCCCTGGAGTAAGGACGAAGAAGAATGCTAGCTCCCGTTAGCTTGTTGACTCGCAGCAGTAAGAGCTTCTAATGAAATATGGGGCTTTTTCAGCTATTTATTTCAGCTCTGCAGGAGTTGAGCCCAGTCTCTTCATTAGTTCAGCAGCTTTAACGCGGAAAATATATGTCAAAATGTGTAAATTTGGGACATTTGTTCTCTACAATGAGAAGATATTTGATTCCAAGAATGATAAAACTGGAGTTTCTCGGGGAAAAAAGCTGGAGTTCACTAAAGCTGGAGATGAAGCTTATACATGTATACATGTATTTTATTAATACCACTGAAAGGAAAAAAACGTTACAACTTACCCAAACAAAAATTAGCATTACAACAACAGCGAATGAATAAAAATATTCCACCCAAAAGAAATGTATATACTGGTAAATTCAAGCTGAAAGTAATTGAATATGCAGTGGAAAATGGCAATAGGGCAGCTGAACGACAGTTTGGATGCAGTGAAAAACTGGAGAAAAGCAGAGGAATGATAGTATTATTGATAGTAGTGGTGATATTTAAAACAAGCAGAGCAGGCGACAGGGTAACTGGCGCGTTATCACTGCTTCTCACACGCTCGTTCATGAGATGAAACAATGCGGTCTTCCAGCAGTAGCCTACCACACTCCAGTCATCAGAACACGGATTCCATCGATAGCCTTGGAAAAAAAGTGAGACTTTTAGTCAGATGAGACGTATACATGTTTTTTTTTTCCGTCTTCATAATGCATTTTACGGCTGATGCGACTTAAACTCCAGAGCGACGTATAGTCATAGATTAATCGTGATAAATGGATCATTGAAATAATCAGCTAATTTGGAATTTAAATGACTTAATTGTTAAGCAGTCTCAAAAAACATGCCTTTAGCAGAATGAGGAACCTGCTCAAAACAGTTATTAGAGCAAAAGGGGCATAGTTTTAGCTTCTCCTGGTTCAAAATCTGAGTAAAATGATCTTATAAAAAAATTAAAACTATCATCAGGTTAATTCTTTAGCAAAATAGGTGTTAGTTGAAGCCCCACTTTTAAAGCATATTATCAAAGTTGTATATTTTCCGTTCCAGGCATTCCAGGCCATCATCTAGCTTTCTGGTAGTTAGGCAGTACTTCCAGTGGATGGCGCCACGTCTGTTTATAGCTTCTCATCAGGATCGGCGCTTGAATTCTATTTAGGCTCGAAAAAGACAGTCTAAACACCATCAGGACAGAAGCTTTGGGTATATAGCCGTATGTTATCATCATTAACTGGATTTTTGTCTATAGGTATAGGCAGGTAATGCAACCTTACACCTTTTAAAAGCCTATTTTTGAAATAACTAAAGCCTAAAGCAATGGACTTGGTGCAAAACACACTGAAACTTTTCAACTAAAGCTTTAGTCCTGTGCTGTGACGTAGCTCTAGGTGTTAGCCTAGATGTACTATCCATGTTGGAAACTTTACTGGGTTAAATATATTATGGGGTAATTTTTCCTCCAAGAAAACTCCCTGGTTCCTGGAAAATGTTCCTGCCTTGGAAGGATGCACTCAGTCTGTGGATGACGAGTTCAAACGTGTCTCTGATCGACTGAAACGGGTTCAAGTTCACCTCTGCACAAAGTCACACAAAAACATTCTCATTTTCACAATGTGGGTCAACACGTCCCTCTGACCCAGGAGTCATAGTTACGTGTTAAATCTGTTGTTAAACTTTAAAAAGGTAGAAGTCTGTGTGGCGACATCTTGAAATGGTTAGCTTCCCAATCGAGGTCAGGTGTGCTACATAAGAAACTTCAGCTCAGCTTATTAATCATCCCCCAAGGTGACATTTCCACTTCAGGCTTAAAGCAAACTCTGAGTCAAAGATTAAGTCATTAAGGCTGTCAAATAAAAACTAGCTTTCAGCTGAAATCAGTTAGAGGACTGTATCCACCTAAAGTGTCAATGCCAAAGAAGAGCTGAGACACAGCTTCCTCCAGACCTTCAGAATAAGAGTCCTAAATACCACAGCTGACCTACAAATATGTTCGTTGAACAGCTGTTCAACATCACCATTAATAAGTGAACTCCATCATATTTGTTTATTTGATAAATGCACATTTTCAAAGTAGAAGCTTCGAATTAAAAAAATAAATAAATTGATCTTTATTGATCTCACAATGCAGAAATTAACTCTCTGCATTTAACCCATCCCTTGGGGAGCAGTGGGCTGCCGCTGTGCAGCGCCCGGGGAGCAGTGTGGGGTTAAGGGTCTTGCTCAGAGAGCCAGAGTGGCAGTCTGTGGGAGTGGGTTTCAAACTCACAACCTCAGGATTCCACGCCCTATGCCCTAACCACTAGGATGCACTCCCCATTTCAATCAGTTAACTGGGACGGAGCATCGTGTGCAACAAAAACACTGACAGAAAACGCATTGACAGACAGAAAACAGACAGAAAACAGACAGAGAAAAAAAGACAGATAGAAAACAGACAGACAGTAAACACACTGACAGAAAGTCATTTCAATGGTTCACTTGCTGATTATTTACCACTTTGTTTCAATCAAGTGGACACTAACTGTGACATTGCACTCTAATTTAGCGTAATCTTGCATTCAGTGCTGGGAAATGTGCCTCCATCAAGTGCATTAAATTACAAAAGCCTACCATGCTAACTACTAGCATGTCTTTTTCTATCACGCTTCAAACGTTTATTTATTATACAATTATTTGTAACTTGATTACTTGTTTACATCCCCATGTCAAAAAGCAGCCACCCTGCTGACATTGCTACCCTGCTGTAGTTTAACATCCACCCCCCCCCCTGCTGCATCACTGCCACATGCCCAAAACACCAAATGATCACTCGTCCCCCCTTCTGAGACACATGTTGGTTGATATCAGCCTAGTTTTAGTTAGCAGACTATTTTTAAAAAGGGGCTAACATTGGCTGAGAATGTTTATAACTATAGAAAGCCTGAAATGATTGGGTTAATGCAGGTTTAGCTAGCACTGGACTAGCTAACCACCATCATCCCATTGGCAAAAAAGGCTGCATGTCTGCTGAAGCATCACATTAGCTTTGATGATGTCACCACTATGACTGATATCAGGAAAGTAAACAATGGAGAGTAACATGGACGGGACCCGGGGCGTAGTAAGTATGCTTTCATTGTTCCGTTTAGATGTTTAGTTTAAAACTGCCTTTAAAAGATTTGATTTCTTACAGGAATTTTATTATCTTATCGTCATAGTGACTGAAATGAGAATTATCCTCCTTCCGTGTCCCACACAGACAGTTTTATGACACACAATAGCCCCGTTTACTCTACCCTCTGAAAACCGATCCGTGACTAGCTTGGTTCCTTACGACCATTTACACATGACACTAGCATGGTTCATCACCTTCTAGTGGCGATCGACGGTACTACTGCCCTCTGGAAAGAAACAAGCAAACCAACATGGCGGTGCCTGTAACATTTAGGAAGTTTGCAGAGAGTCAGGCGAAGAAAGCAGCCTTTGGTGGATTTACTTGACAGAGTCGGCTTTTGGGAAGTGGATACGACTAACGCTAGTATATCAGGGCTTCCAGATGCAGGAAACAAGGATAGACATTGAGGTTCATCACACTGATAAGCAGAAGCATCACTGGACATCTTGTGGCTCGATAGGGAAGCTAGGATTTTTATGAATGTCTGAAATGTCATGTTAATAGGGCTTGGGATACGGGTTGCATTTTGGGACGTGGCGGCCATGTGGATGGCTACGCGAACGTAAACATAGCTCTGATACAACGTTGTTGTTGAACGAAGAGACGTAGAAGTTGAGAGAAAAAAGATGTTAAAATCCCAAAAAGGATCTGGAATTTACTTGGACACATTAAATAGAGCTAGCCAACGACTCTTTATCTCTGACACTCTCCGTGGTTACGCCTCCAGGCAGGAAAAAGGTGGAAAGTTAACCCATTTTCTATGTTGTTCCCATGGCAATCATGTGTTGCGCTGTTACAGCCCACAATACAGCAACGGTTTACCATGGTGGAAATCAAGTTAAGGTGAAATTAATCAAATTAAAACACGGCTGAGAGGGAGTACAGTACGCGGTAGTCATGGGCAGTAGTCTGAGCCTTGGTAAAAGAGGCCATCAACATGGCGGCCACGCAAAGTAATTACGTCATGACGCCCAAGCCCTGTTGAGGCTCACTGTAAGGAGATGAAGCGGTCTGCTCATGCGGTCTTTGTTTATGAAAACTGAGCTAGAACTGAACCGCGCTGAGACCTACTGATGAACTAGTACCATGTTAGCACGGTTCGGTTGTGTCTGGCGCGGTCCGATTCAGTTTTGTCTCCCATTTACACTCAACAGTTATCTCGGTTCCGTGCTCAGACCGATCTCAGCACAGTTTCTAAAGGTTAGTAGAAATGGAGCTATAGTGGTCTCCGACCCTTACATTGGGAACCACTGGTGTTGGTGCCTGAGTTTCTAATAAATATCCCCGATCTATACTACCTGTAGGGATCGTTGACGCTGGCACGGATCATCTCCATAGCCCTCTCTCGTATCCCACAGGTGCTGATGTCTCTCCCCAGGCCCAGGTCCAGGATGAGCCCCAGAGGGCAGGACAGGGGACAGGTGAGCACCATGCAGACCTGGGCCAGCCAGGTGAGTCCAGGCGCCAGCTGGAAGCCGTACCCGGAGCACAGGATGTGAGGAGCCAGCTCAGCCAGGAAGAAGATCAGAAAGCCGCTGGTAAACGCCGCCGAGAAGATGGAGTCCAGCGCCCAGTAGAGAAGCACCGCCAGGAAGGAGTGGCCCAGGACGCAGAGGAACAGCAGCGAGCACGTCTGGATGGGAGAGAGAGGATTGTTAGCAAGAAGGAAAGAAAACAGCCAATGGAAAAACCTCTCTGCTGGTGCTTCTCTGCTCTCTATGGAAGCCCCTCCCACCACTCTTATTAAAAAAAAAACCTGAATATTTTATAATTATGACTTAGCTATCCATTACTAGGAGATATCTGTTGTTTTCCCTCCTGGCCGTGGAACACTGGATCTGCTCTACACCCTCAGCAGGATCCTGGAGGGTGCATGGGAGTTTGCGGTGTCAGAGCCTGGTCTGCATTGCTGGTAGTAAGTCTGACTCATTTCAGCTGAGGGTTGGACTCCACCAAGGGTAGGGTGCCTTCTCCAGGTTGGGGAGGATGTACTGCCCCCTAGTGGAGCAGTTTAAAGTATCTTGGGGTCTTGTTCACGAATGAGTGGAAGATGGTGGGAGATCAACAGCACGGCATTATCTGCTGTGAAGCCTGCCCTGTAGTGGTCCGCTGTAGAGAAGAGAGTCCTGAGCCAAAAAGCAAAGCTCTTGATTTACCGGTCGATCTATGTTCCTACCCTCATCTATGGTCATGAGCTTTGCATCATGCTGCAAGAACTGGATCCCCTTAACCAGAGGTCACAGATTAGCAGACCGCGGTCAGGATCCGGACCCAACCTGATTTAAAACAATCAATTACTGCATGTTGTCCAACGACAGTGTCTAAATTCACTTGCGCTGCTTCTCCTGCTAATACGGTAAAGCCCTCCAGAGCGTCCGGCTCCAGGCTACGCGTAATCCAAATGAGCCAATGAGCTGCTGTCAGTCTGAGTTGCTGCTGCTGCTACTTTTAGACACAGCAGGCAAACCTGTGGCAAGCCGGGCGATGGGAAAGAAGGAGAAGATGATGAGAAAAAGAGAGCAGAGAAAGTGTGGACTGCTGGAAGAACTGTGGTGAACTGGTGAAAGAAAAGTGAAATGGTGCTCAAAGATGATCCTGAGGATGTTTGGCTCAACCGGCTGCTGTGAAGCAGGATTCTCCACCATGAACAGAATAAAAAAAAAATATGGATCCATCCTGGAGAGAATCAACACCTTTGTTAGATGTTGGAGATCTGCCTGTTTTCCAGTGTAGTCCTGTTTCTCTGACTGTGACTGGCCGGATGTGCTCTCTTCATCCTCTGACATGGGAGCTGGCTCGGAGCTCGTCTGCATGGCTGTTGTTTTCTTTACCGGGCCGCCTTTTACAGCCGCTTTTTGTATCTCTGCTTCTGTCTTCTTGAACCCCAGTCGGGCTCGGTAGATGGCCGCTCACACTGAGCCTGGTTCCGCTGGAGGTTTATTCCTGTTAAAAGGGAGTTTTTCCTCTCCACTGTCGCTACAAGCATGCATAGTGTGAGGGATTGCATTCAATTCAATGAGTCGATGCAATCAACTGGTTTTCCTTAGATAGAAAACTTTGAATCGATTTGACTGGATGATCTGGTGACCTGTAAAGTGCTTTGAAATGACGTGTGTTGTGAATTGGCGCTACAGAAATAAACTGAATTGAAACAGAATTACTGGTTGTTGATTTTCTTTATACGGACCCGCTGATTTTTTTTTTATTAGTTACCCCTGCTCTAGCGGGACTATGTTTCTCTGCTGGCCTGGAAGCGCCTTGGGATCTCCCCAGAGGAGCTGACCCAGGCAGCTGGGGAGGGGGACGCCTGGCCTCCCTACCAAAGCTGCTACCCCTGAGATCCAACTCGGGATAAGCGGAGAAGATGGATGGAGATATGTCATAATTTTGCAATAGTATCTTATTATTATGAGATATGTTTTTTTTTAGAATGGCATAAACGGGCTTCCATAGATTCCAACTGCTCTCAGAAACTCACCAGGAAGTTCCCTCTCCTCCTGATCGGCTCCAGGCGCTTAGCGGCTCGTTTCTCCTCCTCGGATCCGCAGCTGTGGAGAACATAGAGCTCTGCGGGGTCCAGCCACAGCAGGCTGAGGTTCACGGTCCTCAGCAGCCCGCACACCACCAGCATCAGCACCACCAGCAGAGCCAGAGCCCACGGCGGGATGTCCGCCGGGAACCCCGGGCTGACCTCCAGTCTGTCGGAGCCCACGGACTCCCAGCCGCCGTGGCTCTGCAGACACAGGTGATGCAAACCCTCGGGGATGCTCCCACCCTCCACCTCCACCCTCAGCAGCCTGCTGTGCTGCTCATCCTGCTCCAGGTACTCCGCTACCTTAAAGGCGGATTTCTTGCGGCGGGACTCGTCTTCGCACGGGTCGGGGGCATCACCCAGCGCCCCCGCGGCTGCCCCGGCCCCCAAAGCGAAGCCGACCCTCGGCCAGCTTCCATTCAGATTAGCCCCAAACAGACGAAGCTTGAACGTGGCTGCTTGCGGCGCATAGATGGTCCGACCCTTCATCCACACCGAGCCGGTGGAGTCTTCCAGTCGCAGCCCTACGACCGTTGGAGCTTCTTCGCTGCAGGCGCCGAACCTGATCCCGCAGAGCAGCAACACCATCAACAGGAACCGTAGACCTGCCAAGCTGGCCACCATATTGGATTTGCTCAGCTTGGCTCTGTGTGGATCATGTGACCCCCCCAGCCTCCCATAGGTCCCGCCCACTTTCACCCTGCAACTGAGCAACGTGGTCGGCCATGTTGGCTCAGGACATGCTTGACTTTAAGCGGTATTAGCTAATATGGCGGCCATGTTGGCGCTGGAATCTTTAGTGTTTTTGTTTTAAAGCTCCGCCCCTTCAGTGTGTTTGTTCCCAGCCACGGGAGACGAAGAGGAGCTCACGCCCATCTTTGTTGGAGCTCTTCAAAACAAACCACTCATGGTTCTGCACCTCTGCATAACACATGTCCTATTATTGTTACTTACCTTTTATCACTGTTCTATGGAAGCCCATTTCCGCCACTGGACATAAAAAAAAATGCCAAATAGAAAGTCATAAATATCAATTTGAAAGTCATTTATGAGATATAGTCATTATCACGACTTTCAAAGTTTTAATTATAAGATATAAAGACATTATTACGACTTTCAAAGTCATTAAAATATATAGTCATAATTATGAGATATAAAGTCCTAATTTCGACTTTCAAAGTCATTGTGAGATATATAAAGTCATAATTATAAGATATAAAGTCAAAATTGTTACTTTTTATCTTTGAAAGTCATAATTGTGAGATATAAAATCATAATTATAAGATTCAAAGTCATTATTTTGAGATACAAAGTCATTGTTATGAGATATAAAGTCATAATTTCGTCTTTGAAAGTCATAATTTTGAGATATAAAGTCATGATTATGAGATTCAAAGTCATAATTTCGACTATTTGGACAAAGACATGGCTGAGCAAACGTGGCTACTACGCTCTGTCAATTTTACAGAAAGAACTCCATTTCACTCATTGCATCCCTGCCTTACTGCTGTGTTTACATCTGAGAGGAAAAATAAAAATCCTTCTTTGCACATGCACCCTGAGCGATCTGCCCACGACGGTCGGGAGAATATCAAACATGTTTGATTTGACCTCACAATTCCTGAGCGGGAGGTGATCATGAGAGGCTGATCGCCCCTTGTAACCCCCTGTACACTACACCAGTGGTCCCCAACCACCGGGCCGTGGACCGGTACCGCTCAGTCGGTCATTTGGTACCGGGCTGAGTGATATTTTATTTTGAAAAATATAAAAAAAAATGTGGTATTCTGTCCCAATTACATCAGTAAGTGCCTCTTGACACAGGTTAAGACTCATCCTGTCTATAACATCCTATCTTTGTGAAGCGGGATTTTCTGCGGTTACAGCGACCAAAACAAAGCTACAGAGCAGACTGGACATCAGGAGCACACTTCGTCTGTCATTTTCTCCGATTACGCCTAGATGGGACCGGCTTGCTTTATTTTTATGCTGTTTGTATTTGATTTTATGCCAGTCATACAGTATCATTTTACTTGATTGTATTTACCCGCCCGGCCGGTCCGTGCAGGGGCGGGGGGGTGGATTTGAATACGATCAAGTGAACCCCCCCCCCCCCGGTCCGCGAAAATATGCCATATAGCGGTCTGTGGTGCAAAAAAGGTTGGGGACCGCTGCACTACACGACTCACGACACAGGCTGAAAGTCGGCCCGATCAAAAGATTCTGGCACGACTGGAAAATCGCCCCGAAAATCGCACAGTGTACACCCGGCTTAAAAATTTTGTTTTTCCTCTCCACTGTCGCTACAAGCATGCATAGTGTGAGGGATTGCATTCAAGTCAATGAGTCGATGCAATCAACTGGTTTTCCTTTTACTTATAATCAATCTGACTGGATGATCTGGTGAACTTTGATGATGTGTTGTGAATTGGTGCTATAGAAATAAACTGAATTGAATTGAATCTATACGTTAACAGCTGTTTCTGTGTGCAGCATGCAAGTTTATATGCAACATTTCCGGGGACAGGTGGTCGAAAATGGGTCCAGGGCAGGAATTACTGCTGCCAACCAAATGCCCCCCTTAGGTTACCTGATTCTTATGTCAGTAATCTAAGGGAGTGGTGTTCTGTCAGGTGAGCATACCCGATCAGGCCAGCATACCCATAGTCAATACCCATTTATCCCTTTAGTTTTGTACGAAAAATACTCTTAAAGCTCCCTCAACGGATGTGTCTCCCTTTAGTCATGTTCAAAAAAAAAATTTAATGACTTACTTTTTGGTGTATTATTGAAGGATATGGCAATCTGACCTTAAATTGTTTTTTTCTTTTTTTTTGTACATGAATAAATGGACACACGCCCAGAAGGGGAGAATAGAGATAAAATGAATGAACATAACATGTCCTGCTTTCTTCATATAAGACGCACCCCAAATCCATCTGCTATATATTGTTAAGTGAAGGAAGAGCTATAACATTCAAACAACACACTGTAAATTGTAGAAATCATGCTTTGATCTTCTATATTCTATCTCTTGCAAATGGGGGTACGCGTACCCCTAGTGGTCCACCAGGGCATTGCAAGAGGCAAATATTTTATTTCTTAGGTAGTAAAATAAAGCAGGGCTGGGATTTGTTTTGCTTTGTGAGGACCCAGTTGAAAAAAAAATAAGCAAGCATTTATCAAACAATAATTAAGTTTTTATTACATGTTTGAGTCTTCAGCTTTGACCCACATCAAACCAAGCAGAGGAAAAGGCTGGATGTAGAGAACATCCTGGGATCTGCTGTTTCTCACGCTGAGCTATCGGAGCTCATCAAAGCAGCTCAGGTGTTTTGATAAAAACAAAGTCAAACTAATCAAGTCCGTCTGACTATGGTTTTTGTTCCATCTTTTTATTCCCAGTTCATAAAGTTTAAATGCGATTATAAAGGAATTACTCAGAGGAGCTCTAGTTTTATAAATATTCAGGGTTTCCGTCGGTCAGAAAAAATAATTAAAAGTCATTAAATTTTTTCTTTTTAATTAAGGCCTTAACTGGCATTAAAATTCATTATTAATTTCACAGAACCCTCATCTATCCTCCTTTTGTTTGTTTATTGCCTGCAACTCTTCTTACCGGTTTCTGCCTGTATGTTTATGCCCCCACTCCCCCAGACCAGCAGGGGGTCATAGCACTGGACTTAATTTTTTCTAGTTTATCTTCATAATTATATTTCTATTAACACAACATGGTTTTGCCTGCAACAATAATGGAATATAAATTCACTCCATACAGGGTTTGCTTTTTCAGCCATGGTATTAGGTTGCTTTTTATTTAATCCAGTGTAACTCCAAAGTGAAATTCCACATGAACCAGCAGAGAAGTTTGTGAGTTGATGACAGTGCAGAAAATGATAACTTTATAACATATTGTTTTGGGTATTAATGACAATCATTAACTAAAGTTTTTATCTCAGTGAGAAATAGAACATTGCTAAATATGATAACACAAACCTGGAGCAGTAAAACAGCAGACTATTAATGAGGGTCACCCTCCTAGATTTAACCACATCCTCCAGGCTCTCTCTCCTGCAGTTGGTTGCTGCTTTAGCTTTATGTTTTTGCTGAGTTGGTAAGTTCCTTTTTCATTACAGCATGCTTTAGTGTGGAATAAAATTAGTTTATTTAGTAAAGTTGAATTACATTGTCTGAGTTCAATCTCCTTAAAAAAAAAAAAGTTAACTGATTTTTACATATTATTTCAGTTCAATATGGGGGAAAAAAAGTCAGAATTCTGATCTTTAATCTCAGAATTCTGACTTTTTTCTCAGAAGTTTGACTTTAATCTCAGAATTTTTGTCTTTACTCTTTGAATTCTGACTTAAATCTCAGAATTTTGGATCTTAATGTAGATGGGCACCATGAAGGAAGAGATGTGGGAGCACTCAGCTTCACTGACAAACATGTGAGTTGTTTGGGAGAGCCAGTGACACATTGGTGGAAAGTATGGAATTAGGAAACTTTTTACGTGCCCGAAGGGTCCCTGGTGATGCTATTTCATTCATGGAAGAGCAGAAGGTCATTAAAACAAGAGAGCTACTTTAGTCTCTCGAACAGACATGGCTGTTGACAACAAAGATTAAAGTCAGATTTTTGAGATTAAAGTCAGTATTCTGACTTTTTTCCCATATTAAACTGAAATGTTTAAAAATCAGTTGACCTTTTTTTTTCCAGTGGCCCTAATCCTCTTCCATACCTTTGTCATCCAGTCTATTGTGTGTTTTTTTTTTTTTTTTGCATGTTGCATTAATACACCTTTGCATTATAAATTATATTAAGGAATGATGTTTACTCTGAATGTGAGTCATGCTCATTTCCAGAAATTATCGGAGTTTTTGTTAAATACAATATTTTGTTCCATCACCGTCTGTCGTTGAGTTTAAAGTCCAGGACCTTTGATATTTTCAAGCTTCATTATGTTTTTCTCCTCAAAAAAACACCCATAAAACTGTTTGTTATTTTTTGAGCAAAGTATTAGAATTGGTAGTTTATAGAACAGAGTGTTTTTGTCAAATATTATAAATATTATATATAATATTATAAAATAATAAAAAAAGGAAGAAATCTGAACCTGATTCTTCACCATGTTTGAGCAACATACCTTCTGCCACATATTTCTGGTCTCTAATGCATTCATGATAAGAGAAGCAATAAACAATACCTCAATGAATTTTAGTGTTTTATAGCATAAATATTTATCTGCATGGAGCTGAGCCACATAAACACAAACTCTGCTCATAAGATAAAACCTCAAAACGTTTGACTTCACTATCTTGACTCCAGTTATGCAATCATGCAACAACAGAGTTCTTTAAAACAACTCCAATCTGAGAGCATTTTTATTTATGCTCTGATAAGAGTAGAAAATAACCGATACAAATACTGATGACCTAAAGGATATGGAGTGAATTTTGTTCCATTATTGTTCTGAGCAACAAACATGTTTCGTAAATTGAAATCTGAAAAATTGTCATCGAGATATGAAACTGTAAGAAAGTTTTGAATAAAAAAAAGATTTTGAGAGGAACTTTGTTTCATTAATTGATTTTTTTTTTTATGTTTAATTTTTTCAATTATTTTTTACAGGTTTTGAACGTTCAAATTACTTCTTTACCCAAAAAAATTA